ACATTGCGGGAGGGTTGTCTTACAGAAGCCCTTTTGATCACTGCCCTACCAGTTCTGATTGTCATCCCCAACAGAAGATGCCTCACCATAAGGAACAAGGAGAACAGAATTCCTTTCAGAGAGGAGCCAGTGAAACAATTTTGTCCTTCTATCAAGTGGCGAACGTTTGTATACCTACATTGTTAGACCAAAATGGATGGTAGAGATTATTCAGTGAAGTGCAGGCCCCTCGTTTTATGGATAGGAAAGGGAAAGTGATTTTCATAATGTTGGCTAGTGGCGAAGGTGGCACTGGATTCCAGCTCTTCTGATTCCCAGCCCAGTACTCTAAATTATTGATCCATGCTGTATAGCAGAGCACAGAGACTTTCGTATTATAAACCTTAATTCTAATAGAGACCAGGTAACAGCGACATAGAGGAACACTCCTGGATCATCAGTGAATCCAGAATGACAATCTAAGATCTCCTGGATGAAGGGCTCTAACCACACGAATGTAACATTCGGTGGTTCCCTAATGCTAGTCAGTTCTGTCTTCTGGATGCCACTTACATTAATCCCTTTCTCCTCTCTTTCTGCCTCCGCTTGAGTCAGCCTAGTCACCATCATTTCATCATCCAAATCCACTCTTGCCCTAAGTATAAAGTCCCAGCTCCTCAACATGGGCCAGAAGGGTCTGGGTGTTCTGGGTTCATCTTGCTTTTCCAGCTTCACTTCCTCTTACCCTTCCCTTCAGTCTCTCTGCTCCAGCGAGGCGTGGCTTCTCAGAGCTCCTCAAATGAGCAAATAAGCCATTCTCTCTCTCTCTCTCTCTCCTCTGCCTAGAAAGCTTTTTCTCCTCTCCACTCAGATCAGTGGTTCTCAAACAGGGGTGATTTTACCCCCCAGGAGACATTGGCAATATCTGGAGACAAGTGTTTTGGTTATCGCAACTGGCATCTAGTGGGTAGAAGCCAGGGATGTTGGTAAACATCCTACAATGTACAGGACATCTCCCATGACAAAAAATTATCCAGCCTAAAATGTTTACAGTGCTGAGGTTGACAAGCACTCAATCTTTGGAACCCAGCTTAAATACCACTTCTTCGCAGAAGCCCTCCCATTATACTGTATATTGGTTGAAGGCCCCTCCCCACTCGGTATGCTCCCACTCATCCCTTCTCCTCCACAGCACTTGGCACATTTGAGATAATGTAACATCTGTCTTCCCCACCAGTCCATCAGCTCCAGGATGGAGTGGAGTGTTTGGTTCATCACCTGATCCCAGTGCCTTGTATGGTGCCCAGTGCAGTTAGGCATCATTTTTTGCCTTGATGACCCTGCAACACAGAGGAAGGTAGTTGACACAGGTGACCTGTCTTTTTCCAGGGGTTACATGGGTTTCCAAAGGCTTCAAATGCAGACGCATGGATACCCATGGTCAAGAGCACAGTCTTAGGAGCCTGGCAGAAGTGGGTGGATATCATAATTCTACTGCCTCCTAGTTGAGTGACTTTTAGCAGGTTGCTTAATTTCTCTGGAATTGGGTTTCATCATCTGTAAAAGAAGCATAAAAATAGAACCCGCGTCATAGAGTTGCTGTGAAGATTAAAAGACACAGTATACGTAAGGTCCTGACTTCTGCCTCTGACATAGGGTAAGAGATTAACAACTGAGAGGAAGTAAGGGGAATCTATTCTAAGGGTCCACCACAGCCCCCAGGCCCTGGGTGACAGGCATATGCATGAGGAAAGAACATCAGGAGACTGCCAGTCAACCTCTCCTTAACTTCTTCAACTCCAAAATAAATGTGCCTACATGCATCCCCTCTTACTTTTCCCATGGGCTTGTTATATGTTCCCCAAATAGCTCCCACCCAAACTAGAGAGGTACCTAGAAATCACCTGTAGGTAGGGCTGAGGGCAGCTTTCCAGACTGTCTCTTACCCCCTCCACCCTGACCTTCTGGAGAGCTAGGGCCTGGCGCCCCTGGTTTCTTATCTGGATTCCTCCTCTTGGCCCAGCCTTTCCGGACGGCAGCCATTTGCACCTGAGCTAGCTCTGATTTCTCTGTCTTCCTGGGTTCGGCCTCTGGTGCCAGCAGGGGCTCCATACCCCGTAACCTGTCTGGCCTACCTCCCACCAGCTCTGAATTCTGGTCCACAGCCAGATAGCACAGTTCCCACCAGATCTGCAGGGGAATTTGAAACATTTTCACTGAATGAGTCCCAGAAATTGCTATTGTTCCTTTTGCCTTGGGGAGTGGGGGGTACTTTTCCATTTCCAGGCCCCTTTGCTTCCTTTCCCACCAATTTTAGACATTCAAAAACTGTTTTTAGAAGAAACAAAGGTCTGTTTCCTAGATTGCTCGGGTCAGCAAACAGAAGTGTCTATTTGCAGACAGAGGGCTGGACAGGAAGAGGACTGCTCAGCCTGGGCAGAGGACATCAGATGGGGCACAGGGAAGCTGCAGACAGGAAATCCTTTAGCTCTGGGAGCAGATGTTGGAGCCGAGTCCCACACAGGTAGCAGCCAGTGAGGTTCACACTCGGGAACCTCTTGCAGAAACCCCTCCCGGTCTGCAGAGCTGTGGAAGCACCAGGGCCGACTCCAACAGCACGGGGGTGGGGAGGGGGCAGAGAGGCCTCAGACCCCACAGCCGAGGGAGGAGAGGGGAGAGGAGCTGGTGGCATCAGCTCAGCGGGATGGCCCCTGGAGTGCCAGCTATCATGGTTGTCTGTCACAACAGCCGCCCACGCCCGGGCTGACCCAGTTAGCAGCCTGTTGCTTCTGTCCACTTGTTTGGCTTTTTGCCCTCTGGCCAGTGAAACCTGATGGATCAGTTTCTAGATCTGGGCTTGTTCTCTTCCACTTCCTGGTTCTCACACCTCCAGCTTGAGAGACTGCGTGGTTCACCTCCCCGTTGGTCTGCAAGAGGATGGTTTGTTTTTGTTTGTCCAAAATGCCCAATGAAAGGTCTGGTCTCTTAATCAGCAGTTCTGATCCCTGGGAAGTTATTTAAGGGATCAAAACAGCTGAAGTTAGACCCCTGAACCTGAGCACAAAGGAGCGGCGCATCAGCACTCTCCCCCATCCCACCAGCCAGGGCTTCTAAGTCTCTGTTTTCATTCACTTTGAAGAAACAGACGAGTTTCTTCCCCCCCGCCCCCACTTCTTTTTTTTGTAATCCCTCCAATGTGTATAACACACCTCTTTGCCCTTGATCAATGCCTACTAAATATTTGAGTGATCCAGTGGAGGTGGAGGTTGCTCAGCACTGCTGGGATCAGGGGGAGGCAAGTGAGGCTCCTAGGACATGACGTTTCAGGAGGTGCCCACTCTCCGGGGTCATACAAGCTTCCTCACCCTGGTCCTGGCCCTGTGGCTGACTGCTGGTGAGAGAAAGCTTCAAGGAGAGACGGTTTTCTCCGAGATGGCTGACTATGGAATAGGAAGGCACCTGCCAGCCTTAGCTTCCTCTTGCTTGGGACACCCAGGCCGCTCCAGAAGTATACTCCGGGTGAGGCTGGTCACTAACCTGTCAGAAGGCCCCTGCTCCCAGGAACTACAGAGACAAACATGTATGAAAGAGAACTTGAAAAAAGTCAGAGGCAGTCATCACTGCAGGGGTGCAGGGGCTGAAAAGAATTATAATAATATTAAATAACCATTTGGGTACTTACTATGTGCCAAGCCCTGTGGTAAATGCTTTATGGCCATTATTTTGTATAATCCCCTCAACAACTCAATAAAGAACTTGGGCTCTGGAGTCAGACAACTTTGATTTAAATCTCAGCCTCACCTCTTTCATGTTGTGTGACCTTGGGAAATTACTTAACCTGTCTGGGCCTCAGCTTCCTCATCTGTAAAATGGGAATAATAATAGGACCTACATCATAGTATTCTGAGGATTATATATGTTGTATATCATTCAAGTAAAGCAATGAGACAAGCAACTGGCACAAGGTAAGCACTTGACGATTATTAGCCATGGTTAGTATTGTTATTGCCTCTTGTAGCTTATTCCTAGGGCTGCCACAAGTCTCATAAACTGGAAGCTTAAACAATAGAAATTTATTGTCTCGCAGTTCTGGAAGCTAGGAGTCCAAGAGCAAGGTGTTGGTAGTGTTGGTTCCTTCTGAGGGCTGTGAAGGAGACTCTGCTCCAGGCTTCTCTCCTAGCTTCTGGTAGCCTCAGGCGTTCCTTGGCGTATAATCGGCCGTCTTCTCCCTGTGCCACTTCACGTCATCTTTCCTCTGTGTGTGTCTGTCTCTGTGCCCAAATTTCCCCTTTGTCTTAGTCCATTTGGGCTGCTATAATAAAAATACCATTGACTAGGTGGGTGAAACAACAACTGTCTATGTCTCACAGTTCCAGGGCTGGGAAGTCCAAGGTCAAAGTACCGGCAGATGCAGGGTCTGGTGAGATCCCTCTTCCTGGTTCATCAATGGCCGTCTTCTCGCTGTGTCCTCACATAGCAGAAGGGGCAAGGGAGCTCACTGGGATCTCTTTTGTAAGAGCACTAATCCCATTTATGAGGGTGAAGCCTCCCAAAGACCCTACCCCCAAATACCATCACATCGGGGATTAGTTTTCAACATATGAATTTGGGGGGGACAGAAAAATTCAGTCTATGGTGCATTTTTTATAAGGACATCAGTCTTGGATTACGATCCACACTAATGACTTCATTTTAACTTGATTACCTTTGTAAAGACCCTATTTCCAAATAAGATCACATTCTGAGGTGCCAGGGGTTAGGACTCCAAGGTATCTTTTTTGGGGGACATAACTCAACCCGTAATACAAAGCTAAGTAACTTGCGCAAGGTCACACAGCTTGTTGGTGATGAAACTGGGTCCTAGAACCCAGGATTATTTGATGACAAATTCCATCGCATAAACCCCAGTGAAAAGCCCCAACATTACTAAACCTTCTCTGGATGGGGAGAAAGAACCCAAGGGAAGCATTCAGAGTCTGTGTGTTGATGGCGTTTTCTCTTTTTTCTCGCTTCCTCCCTAGCCTGCCTGCTCCAGGCTGAGCTGGTAAACTATGAGCGAGTCAAGGAGTATTGCCTCAAAGTCCTGAAGAAGGAAGGGGAGAACTTCAAGGCCCTCTACCGGTCTGGTGTGGCCTTCTACCACCTGGGAGACTATGACAAAGCCCTCTACTATCTGAAAGAAGCAAGGACCCGACAACCCACAGGTAAGGCAGCAATGGCTGTTTTCTTACTGTCAGCCCCCTCTGGCAGCGCTGAGGCCTTCTCATTGTTGTCAACAGACTTCATGGCTGGCAGGGTTAGGCAGGGGCAGAAATGGCAAATTAGGGGTCAGGTATGTGTTAGGACCCGGAATGAGGAGAGCACACAGTCCATGTATTTGCCTGGGGTCTAGGTTCTGGGGAGCTTGGGCGCTTCTTCTCTTCAAATAGAATATGGAATTCTCGTCTTCTCCCCCCAAAAATCCAGCTCTCTGCACTTATTCAATAAATATATATTGTGTTCTTACTATGTGCCTAGATTTGTGCTGGGCACCAGGGATGCAGATGAGAAGATGTGGTCCCTACTGTAAGGAGCTCACATACTGGTTGGCGAGACAGAATACAAATGGATAATTTTGGTGCTAAGCTCAGCACCTTTCAGGAAGCATGCTCTGACTTCTCCAGTCAGATCCCATTCCTTGGAGCATGTGTTATCTGTACCATTCACTTACATTCATACCCACTAGCTCAGCCGTTCATTCATTCAACAGGTATTTATTAGGCAGGTACAATGAGCCAAGAACTATCCTCGATGCTGGGTAAATAGCAGTGAGCAAAAGGAAGTTGGTACCTTCAAGAAGCTTACGTTATAAGGGAGGAAGTTGGACAGTAAACCAGTGGACAAATAGAAAATGTAACATTTAGTAGTGGTAAGTGCTGTGAAGGAAATAAAGCGAAGTCAAAGGATTGGGAGTAAAGGGGGTGCTATTATAGACCAGGTGGTCAGAAGAGCCTCTCTGAGGAGATACCATTTAAACAATGACTTGGCCTTGATGTTGCCCTTCTTGTTCATATGGCTGATTTTTTTTTTAATGCAATTCTCCTTCCAAGAAGTCTTTAAGAATTTTAAGATCAACTTGCAAATACCCAAATGTATATTTTTTCTTTAGTTTCTTAAGAATACCAATATCTTTATTTTTCTGTGTTGTTGATTGGTTTTCTGTACATAAATTGTGTTCCCCCAACTATACTGTAAGCAGCTTAAGGACTAAGAACTAGACTCATTCAATGGAATTTTCTTGAGCACCTGCTGTAGGTCAGCACTGTTCCAGATGCTATGCCTGGCATGTTTTAGCATTGCATAGCATTTATTTCTACTTCTGGAAGTAAACCTCTCAGGCAGCCCTGGAGCCCTTATATTCCGGTGTGTGCAGAGCTAAGTAGCTGTTCCATGTTGTTCCCTACTCACTAATTTAAGGACTGGAATTGGGGAGAAATTCCCCAGTTTGTGGTGAGGTAGTTGTCCCATCCTACTTATAACCATAAAAATAAGACATAGAGGCAAGGTCATTTTAAACTCTTCAATTAAAAAAAGTTGCTTTCAACTAATATTTATTGATCATTGGATTAAGCACTTTTAGACTTATCTATTTTGGTCCTCATAGCAATTTTGTGAGGAAGGTACTATGATCCCCAGGAAAGGCATCAACTACCATGTGTCTCCTTGGACATCTTACTCAATCTCTCTGGAGCCCAGTTTTCCCTTTCGTCTCAGTGAGGATGATGATACATACTTACAGGATTATAAGGAGGGTTAAATGAGATAACGAAGGTAACAAATGTGGCACAAAGTAGGCGTTCAAAAATGGAGGTGGTTTCTGGCGGACAAGACGTGAGGCTCAGAGAAGTTGGTAATTGCCTGAGGTTAAACTCCCAGCAGAGTCTTAACTAACTGTGCTGACTCAGGACCACTGGGGGATGCTGTTACCTACAAATAAGGGGAGAAATTGCCCCTCCTCTCCTCTCCTTCCCGTCTGTCCCCTGGGTCACGGTGACCTGTCCGCATTTGCTAGGTGGAGGCCGTGAAGGAGAGGACCGACATCCTGGTGCCCTCTCGACTGTCATCGACCTTGACTGAGTGAGTCTAGCCTGTCTGTGATCTGCATATACAGCTTTACCCTGATTCTGTGTAGACCCACATGTTCCTCTCGCCAGGTGTTCCCTAAGGTGTGTTTCTCTCCTCACAGACACCAACGTGATTCGGTACATCCAACTGACGGAGATGAAGCTCAGCAGATGCTCCCAGAGAGAGAAGGAAGCGGTGTAACTAGAACACCTCTCTAGAGCTGCACCGCGCCTGACCCGGGACTTCCAGGCACCCCCTGGTGGAGAGCCCCTCCCTGGGTCCTGTTCCTTTCTCCCCACTTATTCCGGCTCCCCCCTCTTCCTCCTGTTGCCCCTCAACTCATTGTCTTCTCCCAGTGTGAAAAGGAGACATGCAAATTTGGAATCTGGTGGGTTGCCCCAACAATGAAGACATCCTCTTCTCTAGTAGGTCAGCCACTGAGAGGGACCTAACTTCCGCAGGGACAGCTGGAGAGGACTCTCACAGGCCAGGAATGCCATTTCGGCTTTGACTTTGGCCAGTGCTTCTGACAGAGGCAGAGGCTGGGAGATGCACCATCCCAAAGGTAGCAGGCACGGAGCCCACAGGCTGGACCCCTCCACACCTTCCTGACAGACCAGAGCATCTCAAGGCAACTGTGACAATTCCAGGGATGAGACAAACACCAGAAGCATTGGTTAAGCCAACAGAGAGACTGTGAATTTGTACACTGGATTCCCGCCCACCCCCATCCTCAATAACCTCAGCGCCTGCCTCCATCCCTCACTTGTTGTCTTGGCTTGTGCTTTCTTCTCTCTTTCTTGGGGATCTGAGGCTCTGCCAGGATTCACATGCCATTGAATCCCACTCTCAGTGCCCTCTGGTGACCACACATACCATTCTCCGATACTCCCACCCAGCAGGCAGCTGTGACAGCAGAAGGGCAGGGTGTAGTGGGCCAAGGGCAGACCACATAGGTGATGGAGGGAGGGAGAGATGATGTCTAGGGAAAAGGGCATTGTATAGACTGGGGAGTTGAACTGTAGACTAATTAAGTGTAAATAAAAATAAATTAACAGGCAGCAGTTCCTGTCATTTCTGTTGGAAGCAGCCCACCCCCTCCCTTTCACTCCCTCCCCCAACTCTCAATCAGAGCTCCTTAGCGTCAATCAGAGCCAGGCAGGATGGGAATTCCCCCAAAGCAATGGACCATTTGTCCAGTGGTACACAATGTTGGCTACCGCCTTTGTGCTTTCAGAGTAGGCTGGGATCGTGGAGACCGCCCGGGGACTTGGCTTTGTGGGAACTTGCACAGTCTCTTTTTGATGAAATTATCTGGACTCGGTATCTAGCACATAGAATGTGTTCAACAAATATTTGTTGAATGAATAAATTATGACTGCAGACTGGATCTCCTGCCTTAAACGAATTTTATCCCAGCCTAGTCTCCTGATATCTATGCTCTTTACGCTCTGCCATGTTGCTTCAGTCAAATAAGAAACATTTACTGAGGGCTTATCATTTGCCTATCATTGTGCAATATGCTGTGGGACATAGGATGTAGTCCCAGTCTTCAAAGAGATGGAGGAGTTGAGAAATCCTCATATGAAATTATTACCAATGACACCGTTAATTTATATGATGCTTTAAAATTTTCAAAGCACTTTCATGTATTTTTCGTGTGGTTAGTGAAAGAGACAATACTGTACAAATTAAAATGTATACAGATGCAATAATGTTAATAGTTCGCGTTTATTAAATGCACTATCCTCAGATCTTTACATGTATAATCTCATTTCTTTCATGTAATTATTCTATAAGATACTATTCCCAGTTGATGGATAAGAAAACCGGAAACCAGAAAAATTAACTGTTCCGAGTTTGCATGAGCTTAGATGGCGTAGCTAGGATGTGAACCAGGTCTCTCTGACTCCAGAGATTTAGCTGTTAATACTCTAAAGTGAGTTGCTGCTCGACAAAGTATTATATTGAGCAGTTACCACCATTCAAGAGCAGGACAATGTGTATTAAGTTGAAAAGCCTTGACGATGTCAGTGATGGTACATGGACTGCCTCTTGTATTTAAGCCCAAGGCAGAAAAAGGTCCCTAACACTAGACTCCCTAGTGGTCAGGGCAGAAACAGGCCAGGAAAAGACAGCTGAGAGCCAGCGGTTATTTCTGCATATTGTTCATTCTACTTGCTGTTGAGGCCAGCACTATCCAAACAACCCACCTAGCACTCCTCACCCCATCCCCAGCTTTGGGGAAGAGTCACCATTACAGGTAGAGATTGAAAGGAAACAGAGTCAATGATGGGTTGTTTGCTTAATCAGAGGGTCCACCACTGCAGAATCCAATCACTGCTGAGGGCCCAGAAGCCAGCAGCACAGGTTATATTCACATAGCTCCTCAAAGGCTTCCAACGGGGGCTGCAAGAAGGTGCTAGAAATATCCAGCGGCCCATAGTTGCTTGCTTATAGCTCACCCTCTAGAGAAGAGGAAAAAGAAAAAGCTGTTACAGCTGCCACATTCTCCCCTACTCCTACCATATCTTTCTCTCCGCCCTCTTCCTCCAAAATGGTTTCTCATGACCCCACTCTGCAGCATACACAGCATAAGCAAATGTGCAAAACTCCCTCATTCCCAAGGTTCCAGCTCAGAAAGATGTGAGCTGGCAAACTGCTTGTTAGGATCTGAAGGTTGAAGATGAGGTTTCCGGCAGAACCAGTTCAAACTGGCAGGGTCTTCCCGTCATCAGCAAGGACTCAGAGTAACCATTCCTAACATGGAGCAGGAGAGAGGTCTTGCCTCAGTGAGTGAGTTGGGGCAGGGCTGGACAGATGGGGACAAGATTGTTGCCATCCTTCCAAAGAGAAAGGTTAAAAACCAGAACTAGGAGAGGACAACCTCGTGGGACCTCACAGAACAAGTGTGCAGACTGTCTCCTTGTCTGGTGACTTAGGTACACATTGGAATTCCATTCACTGTGACCCAAAGTTAAATGAGCCCAAAGAAAAAAGCTTCCTGGGAGTATTGGTTGATGTTTGGGGTGGTGGGACTGAATTTTCTGTGCATTTGTCCAACAGAGACTTCAGAGGGCTGTTATGCAAAATCAGGTCTGTTCACCTTACCAAACCTTCAGCTTCCTTCTCCCCATCCCTCCCTAAAACAAGGATTGTCATGTAATTACATGCTTTGTTGGCAGACGTCACTGCTGAACTATACCTGGAGCACTAATCCTGGATATGACCTGCTTTGTCATTTCCTGCTTGGACTTTTGTGATAAGACTCTTTGGGGAAAAAAATTACACTTTTCTTGTAATTATTATGAAAGCCTCACACGTGTATTGTAGAAATTTTAGCAAAAAAAGAGACAAACTCCAACCCATAATCCTACCATCCAAGATAAACATTGTTATCCTTTTGGATGTATCTTTTGGTTCTTTTTGGTATAAATGTACACATGCACACACACAGTTTTTTTTTTTTAACAAAAACTGGATCATATTGTATATATTCTTTAATAACTTACTTTTCAAAATGTGTATTTATATTTTAGAATATGTAATACATACACAGATACAAAATTCAAAAAGTACAAAAAGCCCTATAATATAAGAAGTAAATCTCCTTCCCACCCCATCTGCCAGCATCTAGTTTCTCTCCAATTTCTTGTATGTCCTTCCGGAGACATTTATGCATTTTCAAATATATGCATATTTATTCTTTTGTCACACACACAAATAGTAGCATATTGGACACACGTTTTTGCACTTTGTGCTACTTCACTTACTATATCATGAACGTAATGTTTTTTGTGTCTCTCTCAAACTTTTTCCAACAGCATCCTCATTATACAGGTGGACCCTTATTTGGTAACCAGTCTCCTAATAGTGATTATTTCATTTGTTCCCAATCCTTATTGTAAATAATGTTGCAACAGACATTCTTGTAGCTAAATTTTGCACATATCTAAGACTTTTTCCTTCGGATAAAATCCAAGAAGGAAATTGCTTGGCTATCTTTAAGAATTTTGATATATGTTGCCAACTGCCCTCCAGAAAGTTTGTACCAAAGCACTCTCTTATTTGCAGCCTTGAGAGTGCCCTGTTCCCTGCACCCTCACTTCATGGGTATTATCACTTATCAAATCATTACCAGTTTGATAGGAAAATAATAGTGTGTCAATGTTAATTGAACTCGCACTTCTTTGATTATTAGTGAATGACATCTTCATATGCTTTTTGACCATTTGTACTTCTTTCTTTGTAATTTTTCTATTTATTTGATATTGGTATGTTTATCTTTATTATTGATATGTAATTTTATTCAAAATATTATTTTTGTCAAGAAACATTGCAAATATGCTTTCCAAGTGCTTTGCTTTCAAATTTTGTTTATGGTGCTTTTTGACATACATAAATTCTTAATTCTGCAATTAATTTGTTCCTCTGTTGCCACCTTCTTCTGCCTCCGGTTCACCCTCTTGTTTCTATCAGAGTGATCCTTCTAGAACACAATCTGATTACGCACTCCACAGCTTAAAAATCTTTAGTGGCTCCTCATCACTTTTAGGGTAAAGGCCAAACTCAGCATGACACACAATGTGTCATGTGATTTCTCCCACCGACTCTTCCAGGCTCCCCTCCAGGGCCTCCTCCCAAGGTTCTCCATGTTCCGCCGCTGCACAGCTTCTTGTGATTCCCCGAGCCCATCTTTCTGGGTCTCTGGGCCTTTCCATGCTATTCCCTCTGGCGAGTTGGCCATGCCTCATGCCTCCAGCCCCCTCTTTGCCTTGCTAACTCCAATAGGACTTGGCCAAGGCATCAGTGCTTGAAAGCCTTCCCTGACCCCTTAGTCTGCACCCCTAAAATAGCGTGAGCCTACCTCTGCCCAGAATTTGCTACAACGGATTGGAACCTCCTATCTATGTTTGTCTCACCCACTACCTGGATGTTCCTCAAGGCTGGCACTGTGCTTTACTCATATTTGCAGCCAAAATGTCTAGCACAATGCGTGGCATCTAGTGAGTGTTCCATAAATGTTGCGCATTGAACCTGGAATGAATGAATAATGGATTCAGTGGCAAATGTTACTTGAGGTCAATGCAGGGCTGGACTGGATCTGTGCTTCTGAGAACTGAAGAAATCCTAGGAGACTTGAGTTAGAAGAGAAGTCACGTGCTCCAGTGCTGTGCTTTCCAAAACATCGGAATCACTTGAAGTAGCTTTTTAAAAATACATAATCTCAGACTCTGCCTTAGACCCACTGAATCAGACTCATAGGGATAATGCTCAAGATACTACATTTTTTTTTTTAATGCCCTGAAGTGCTTCTGATGACCAGCCAGGTTAAGGAGCTGCTGCTGAGGTAGACCAGCAGACAAATCAGAGCACTGAGCTCCACCATTTCAAACTCTGTGATCTTTTGGAGTGGGTAGATGGAGCTTTGAATACCAACTTGACTTGCACTAGCTGTGTGACCTTCGGCAGTTGCTTGACTTTTCTGATCCTCATTTTCCTTGCCTGTACATGGGAATAATGTTATATCCCTTAAAAGGGTGTTGGGATGATTAAGAAATACCTGTCTCCTAGCTCAGTGCCTGGCACAGAGTAAGCATGGAATAAACATTCATTTCCTTCCCCCACCCTCAGCCTCAGTTTCCTCATTTAGAGTATAGCTACTAATACCTGTGTGTTCACCTTCCATATTCCCACACTGTGCTCTAGAAGGAAGGGGACTTCCAACAGGCCCTTGGATTACTCTCTGATCAAACAGAACAAGTACTTAGGGGTTGTAGGGGGCAGAGGAAGCCCCATACTCCATCACATGCCCCCGCCAAGCACATCAGAGACTCCACAACAATCTGCTAGAATAACTCTGATGGTCTTCAGAACCAAGTGTCTTCTAGTCATATCCAAAGATCAACACAGTTTTCTCCCTGCAGTTCCACCCAGAGGCCAGTGGCTTCTGGGCTGCAAGGAGAAGGCGATCGTCAGGGGAGAAGTCATTGCCCACTCTCTTTCCAATGCCCTGGCATCCTCATCACCAGCCTCAGGGCAGGACAGGCAAAACTGGCTGTGAGGCCACAATAGCTGATCTGCAGCCACTTTGATTAAGATGCCCCTGCTTCCCGCTCCCAATGCCTACACTCTCTCCCCACCAGCCCAGGGCGGGCAGTGCAGACAGGGAAAATGCATTCAGTCCGTCAGGCATGACAGAGTTCAAATTACCAAGTCAGCATGAAAAGTCCCACTCTAAATGGACTGAAATTGGATTCTATTAAAAACCACACTCAGTGAGGCCCTTGGCTATTAATATTTGCTAAGCCATGGAGGAGGAGGGAGGGGAGGGAGGAGGCAGAGGCCCTTGCAAAAGGTTGGGGATCTCAGCTGTTCCACTGAATTGCTTGTCTGGAAGCAAACCTACAATTGAAAGCTAGACTTGTCCTGTTTTCACCATTTCACAGGATATTAGGGCTGGATGGAATCTTAAAGCTCAATAGTTCAATGTCTCATCTTGCAGATGAGGCATCAAGTCCAGAGAAGCTAAGTGCCTTCTTCAAGATCACACAGCTATTAAGTAATAAAGGCAGAACTGGAACTCAGGTAGTTTTTTGACAACAAACTTCATATTCTGTCCACTGAAGCAAAATACACTTACAAAGCACCTATCTTTTTTTTTTTTTAATGTAATGCTGTAAAAATATTCTCTTCTAAAGAAAGAAGGAATATAGTGATCATTCATTCATTCTCTGACTCAATATCTATCATTCCAGTCACTTCGGTATAGGTGGTTCCATGGTTAATGAGGTATTGTCTCTGGTGAGAAACTTACAGTCTATCGGGAAGAAAGAAAAATAAAGACACCGCTTCAAATTTGTATAATAAATGTTACAGAAACACCAAGGGCGCACATAGCAGGGGCATCTATCCAATCCTGGAGGATCAGGAAAGATTTTCCTGAGGGGGTGCCAACTGGTGGAGCAGAAGTGGTGAGAGATGAGTACATGCCAGTCCAGGGTCAATGACAAGGCTCTGTGACTCCTTTCCCTGGATATAATATGAAAGAATTTGAGATACTCATCATGAGCTGTCTTTTCTTACCTTTTTCCCGATTTTTCATGCCTTGGCTCAGGCAATGTGACTTTTACTACCCTTGTAGGCCCGAGGGCTGAGAAGTCACAGAAGACCCTGCAGGTTATATCTGATTAAATCCCCTCTGTGTAGAACAGGGACAAGTGGCTACGCATGTTATCTCTGAGTGCTGTCGGAAGCTCTTCAAGACTTGCGATTTCCAGAATAGGTGAAAATTCTAGACCAGGTTTCACAAATGTAGCTCCAGAGGCATAATGTCATGAACACCCTGGATATACCCCATTGTTTTATGTTCTTTTGTTTTCTCTAATCTCAGCCTATTTATTCTAGAACAACACTGTCCATTTAGAAATACAATGTGAGCCACCTATGTAATTTTAAATTTTCTAGTAGCCACATTTAAAAAGGTAAAAATAAACAGAGAAAATTACCTTTAATAGTATATTCTAAACAAAAATACAGTTAAGAAAATAATCAAGAAGAATAAAATACTCAGGAATAAATTTAGCAAAAGAAATACAGAGGCAGCCCTGATGGCCTAGTGGTTAAAGTTTGGCGCTTTCACCACTTCAGTGGCCCGGGGTTCATTTCCCGGTCACAGAACCACACCACCCGTCTGTCATTGCCACGCTGTGGTGGCGGCTCACATAGAAGAACTAAAAGGGCTTACAACTAGGATATACAACCATGCACTGGGACTTGGGGAAGAAGGAAAAAAAAAGAGGAAGATTGGTAACAGATGTTAGCTCAGGGTGAATCCTTCCCTGCAAAATAAAAAAAAAAGCAAAACTTATACTCTGGAGACTATAAAACATTGTTGAAAGAAATTAAAGAAGACCTAAATAAAGGGAAAGATATCCCATGTTCATGAATTGAAAGACTTAATATTGATAAGATTGCAATACTTCTCAAATTGATCTATAGATTCAACACAGTCTCTATCAATATCCCAACTGATTTCTTTGCAGAAATTGACACACTGATCCTAAACTTCATATGGAAATTCAAGGAACCCAGATTAGACAAAACAATCTTGGAAAAGAAGAGCAAAGTTGGAGGACCCACACTACCCGATTTCAAAACTTACTACAAAGCTACAGTAATCAAGACAATGTGGTACTGGCATAAAGATAGACAATAGATCAATGGAATAGAAATGAGAGTCAAGAAATAAACCCACATTTATGGTAAATGGATTTTCAACAACGGTGCTAAGACAATTCAACGGGAGAAAAAAGAGTGTTTTCAACAAACAATGCTAGGAC